AGTCCGGCGGCAGCATGTCGCGCAAGTAAAATTGGCACATTACCCACATGCCAATGAACTCCGGAAGAACCATCATGTTGATACGCGAGTCTCGAACTTTGACCTCATCCGCTACACTCTCGGCATCCGCCAGAGTGTTAACGGTTCGATCGAGCAAGACCGTCCAATCGTAGGTGCCAGCATCCAAGTCCCGCTGAAGAAGCTCGAGGAAGAAGGCCTTGGCCCCAGCCGTATAGAACAGCCCATCCATCACTCCGACGCGGCGCCAACCAAACATCTTGAACACCTCGTAGATGGCCGTGACTTTGAAACGATCGGAGGGTGTCATCCGAGTGAAATACGGGTATCGGGGCCGGTCGCTGAGGTCGGGTGAGTCGCATCCAGGCGAGACCATCAGCACCTTGAAGAGGCGCGCCGCATCGCTGACCGCTGCGCATACCTGACTGCAGGAGTCCCCCAAGATCGCGTGCTTCGTGGGCCCGACGGTGAATGCTTCGATGGTGGCCTCTGTCCCTTGCGCCGTGTCGCAACCAGAGTCGGTAAGATGCAAGTTCACCCGGTAGCCTGGAAGATAGTTGCTGTCCTCAATCTCCTGTGCTGCCAGGGCAAGGAGAGGTTCGGCCATCGTCATCATGTCCCCGATAAAACCGGTGTAGGGGCCAATGACTGCAATGTTGATGTCTTGCGCCGCTGCTCGGGTGGCACTGGGGTTCACATCCACGGTGCACTGTCCGCCATTATAGTATCTGCATGGCCAAGATGTACCTCCAGCTGCCGTACACACCTCAGGACAGATCGACACGGCAGAGGGCAGGAGGGCGATGAAGCCCAACCATGGAAAATGCATCTTCCCGACACGTGGACAAACAAACCAGGCTGGGAGAGATCCTAGGGGTCCGCTACTCCTTGGACTGAACCTTGAGCTTAGAGTTTAGGGTTCAGGGTAGCTTAGATTTAGAACACATGCCACACCGGAGACCAGTAGCACTTGGGTACTGCCCCCCCCCGTACAGTAACAGTTTATACGAAGGACCATGGCGAAGGCGTTGTACGATTATATATTACAAATTCAACTGGGTGAGTATCCACTGGAGCACCCATGCCTCCGCACCGGACCTTTGGCCGTAGAATGCATCCTGGCAATCTTCGGGGCCCACCAGAGCTCAAATGCCAGAAGCATCACCAACGTCATACAAACGATCATAAGATATCATGTACATTATGATATAGTATAGTTATTATAGAACCATCTAGTACATCTAACATTCTATTCTGTATTATAATCTAACATTCCATTCCGTATCATTATTTTTACTATTATAATAATACCTTTTTTTCCATTATTATTATTGTTGGTATTGTTATTATTCTTCTTCTTATCACCAGAAAAGAGGTTGTCAGACCCGGGCCATGCCTTCGACTCGAAGCCGAGGAGGAGGCCGTTGACCCCTCCCGGAGCTAAGATCCGAGTTTTAGGGTTTAGAGTTTTAGGGTTTAGGTTCAGGGTTTTAGGGTCTAGGGTTTTAGGGTTTAGGGTTTAGGGTTTTAGGGTTTAGGGTTTAGGGTTTTAGGGTTTAGGGGTTTAGGGGAGCAGACCCGAGAAGACGCGACCCAGGAATCTCTTCTTAGGGGGTTCCGTTTGAAGGTGACTGCTACTGCTGGGGTTTAGGGGTTCCCTTTAAGCTTACTTTTGGGCTCTAGGGGCTCCTTTAAAGCTTACTTAGAAGTCGTCTTAGATTCTTAGGGGTTCCTTTGAAGGTTACCGTACCTCTTCTCTGGGCTCCTCTTGAGGTTACAAAAGGGATTTGAAGGTTTGGTGCTTTCCGGGGGGGGGTGAGGGAATTAGGAAGCCCTAAACCCTAAACCCCCTAAACCCTACAGAAAGGGCTACGGTGGGGCCTGCGTTTGTGAACGCAGGTTTCGATGCCATGGTATTTTAACTTCAGTTTGATGTTCTG